CTCTCTCCTTATTAGAATAGTTAGGTCTTCAAATTCAATGTCAAATACTAGTGATGATAGTAGATATTTATGTTGCAAATCCTAAGTCCACCCCTAGGCTTAATAGAAGTATTTTGCTAGAAGGGTTCATAGGACTCAATATACAGTTGTACTCATGGATATAATTTATTACAGTGAAAGAGTACAAAGTAAAATTAGCAAAATGAAAAAACATTTAGGGTAAAGTCTGGAGGAATTCAGCCATAAGCTTCCAAGAGACCTTTGCCATTGGAGTCACACAGCACACAGTTAATTCCTCTGGCAGTGAGTTGTGGTAACACGTGTGAAGTATTGTCTATCAGGGACAGAACCTTTTAAGGATGACAGTCTCAGGCCCACTGTGTTAACTCTTCTGTACATCTTTGTTTAGTAACTCCTGATCATAGAGGGAAAAGTTTCAAGATTTTACCATGATGTTTGCTCTTAATTTTTTTGTAGATATAATTTGATATTTAGAATAAGGAATTTCTGTATCCTTATGTTCTGGTTATGTCTTTTCTAAGTACCATATAATTGGGTTCTAGTTTTTCTGTAGTATAAAAACTGTAACTTTTAACTGAACCATTAAGTTCATTTACATTTTGATAAAATTACCTATATATTTGACTATTTTTTTAAATTTTTCTTATATTTTAATTACAGGTGACAGTCAATATTATATTAGTTTCAGGCGTACAGCATAGTGATTAGACATTTATGTAATTCAAAGTGATCCCCCTGATAAGTCTGGTACCCCATCCCTGACACCATACATAGTTATTACAATATTTTTTACTATATTCCCTATGTTGTACTTTACCTCCCATGACTATTTTGTAACTGCCAATTTGTACTTCTTAATCCCTTCACCTTTTTTACCCAGTTCTCCAACCCCTCCTCCCACCTGGCAACCATCAGTTCTCTGTATCTATGAATTTGTTTCTATTTTTGTTCGTTTATTTTGTTTTTCAGATTATAACGTAAGTGAAATCATATGGTATTTGTCTTTCTCTGTCTGACTTATTTCATTTAGCGTAATACCCTCTAGGTCCATCCATGTTGTCACAAATGGCAAGATTTCACTCTTTTTATGGCTCAGTAATATTCCATTGCATATATACACCACAACTTCTTTATCAGTTGTCAATTGATGGACACGTAGGTTGCTTCCATATCTTGGCTATTGTAAATAATGGTGCATGAACATAAGGATGCATTTGGCTTTTCAAATTAGTGTTTTGAGTTTCTTTGGTTAAATATCCAGAAATGGAACTGCTAGGCCCTTCTTGGTCTCTTGTTATATATAGCCTTTGTTTTAAAGTCTATTTTGTCTGATATAACTATTGCTACTCCAGGTTTTTTTTGTTTTGTTTTCATTTGCATGAAAATTTTTTTTTCTCCCCATTCTTTTACTTTTGATCTGAAGTGGATAATCTTTCTTCTTCCTTGATCATATTACTTCACTAATCTCTGGGGTAGACTAGTTCATCTCAACCAACCCAGGTGGTTAGTGGAACAACACATGTCAGAGCCAGAATGTTCTCATGTCCCATTTTATACAGCCTACAACAGTGGCTACTTTAAGTTAATCCTTTTACTAGACAGTGCCATGATTCCTCCCCTGAGTGAACTACCTGTCTAGTATATATATGGTATAAAACCATCAGTAAAAGAGAAAGAACTGTGTAGGTAGCCCCTATGATTGCCAAATGACTTCTGTTTTTTTGAAATCCTTCTCTTGGCTCATAGAGCATAGAGATAAAAGCACAGGCTCTGGAATTACACAGACCTGGGTTTGAATACAGGCTCTATCTCTTAGAAATAGTTGTATAATGTTGGCATTTCATTAATTCTCACTGCTAGAAGGGGGGTAATAGTACCTGTTTCATAGTGTTGTGAGGATTAAATAACATTGCTGCTTAACACAGTTTGTGAAACATAAGTATTCAATAACTTTTAATTATTACATTTTGAAAGTTATTTTATTCACTTTTGAATTTAAGGCATTTTAAAATTAATTTGTCTGGGATTTTTTTGTTGTTGTTGTTAGATGCACTTTATGAAAAATCGTGCCCGGAGGCAAGGTATTAACTTAAAACTTCTACCCAATGGGTTCACCAAGAGGAAAGAAAATTCAACATTTTTCGATAAGAAGTAAGTTTCTAACTTCTTCCTTAGTCGGTCAGGTGTTCTGATTTTATCGGAAACATCTTTTAAGGTTTAGTTTGATATAGAGGTACCAAAAGTGTGGCCTGTGAGCTCTTTGTTATTGGTCCATGAAAAGATAACTATACAATTTGAAAATAAACATTTAGAAACTTAAGCTAGTTTTGTGTCATGTGACTCTAATAAAAATTTGGGCTTGCATTGTGTGTATGTGTGTCCATCTCTCTGTCTCTGAGACCAACGATGCTATGGAAGTTTTTCAGAGGCTTAGGGACAAAACAATGAGACAAAGCAGGACCCATGCACAGTTTTAACCAGAGCAGCTCAGCTTTTTATAATAATTTCTACTTTGGGATTCCAAATAAGATTTCATTTTAGAGCCAATGATGGGAAACAAGGGGACTTGGGAAACTTTTACTCGGCAGGGAATGAGTACAGGTAATACAAAAGAGATCAGTATGCTGCTTTCTGCAAGTGCTAGATCAAAAAGGCCCCAATAGTACAGAGTACTGTAAGGATTCCAGAGTATTGTAAATAGCCCACTAAATTATTGGATACCTATCCAAAGGCAAGCTTCTGGGTTTAGACTAAAAAAAACCTGAGTGAGTCCCTTCTTTAGTCTCTTAGTATGTGTGAGAACTTGTACAAATTACTTCCTTTCTCTGAGCCTCATCTGTGTGATGTGGGGATTGTACTAGGTAAACCCTTAACAATCCCTTCCAATTTTACTACTCCATAAATTGAAAAGACAGAGCATCAGATTATTATAACCTTCCACCTTTTCAAAACATTATAAGAAGGTGATGTTATCCATTTATTTTTAATATGTTTCAAAACATAAATATTTGTAAAGGTGGTTTTCCTTTTTCCTGGTTGGCTTCCAGAAGTAAAGTAATGCCTTCAATTTATTAAATGTGAGATGATTCCTTTGTATATTTTGAAACTAACATATTTGGAAATTGACATAATTTGTTTGAAATTTAAGGTAACTGGTTTGTGCCATAGCAAAAATAAAGGCACACTTTTCTTCTGCAGCTAGCTTTTTTTTCTTTAACAATATAGTATGGACCTCTTTTCTTGTTAATGCAAATCTGTCTCATTATTTTTAAGTTGTTTGCTCCAAATATGACTACTGTATATTAATTTATTTAATTATTCCCATATTCATGAACACTTAGCTTATTTCTAGTTTTTAATTGTTACAAATAATGTTGTAATAAATATTGTTGAACAAATTGTTTTGTGTGCTTATGTGATTAGTTCCTAGGAAGCGGAATTACTGGGTCAGAGACTACATGGCATTTAAACTTTTTAGAGAAACTCCAAGTTGTTTTCCCCAAAAAAGTACCACTTTGTACCTTCATCAAAAAAAGTATCAGAGTCCCTATTTTAGTTATATCTGCACTTTAATTGAATATTATTGAACTTTTTTTGCCTATCTGATTATCTAGAGAGGCTGATCTCTTAAATTTTTTATTTCTTTTAAGATGTGCCTATTTATGTCTCATCTTAGACTGTTAAATACATTTGAACATTTTCATCAATCTGCTTATCCTTTAATTTTGTCTTCCATTTTTAATGCATTTTAAAGAGTTGTAAAAAAATTCTGTTAAACATAGAGATAGTAACATTGGAGTGGTTAAGAGCACAAACTAGAGCCAGGCTACCTGAGTTCAGATTTCTCTGATCACCCTCTTCCTAGCTCTGTAATCTTAAGCTAATGTACCTAACTGCTTTGTGCCTCGGTTTCCTCTTCTGTAAAATGGAACTAATAATAAATAAGGGTTAAACCAGTTTTCATTTCCATTTGTGGTAGTGTATGAGAATACCTGTTTAAACATCTCACTAGTACTGAGTTGTTTCTTTTTTTTTTAAATTTTACCCATTTTAAAGATTGAAATAATATTTTGTTTTAATTTGACTTTATTTAATTGCTAGTGAGATATGGAATATTTGCCCACAAATTTTAGAGTGATATCTTAAAATTTAATTAGACTTTAATTTGATATGCTAAGTTAAGATGATCCATTATTCACAGAACCATTTTGGGAGTCAGTTCAGTGAGAAAAAAATTGAACCTCTGTAACTGAATTTTTCCATTTGTTCATTGTTAAATGACTCATATTTTCAAATGAAAAATGATTTTGCTACTCACTGAATTTAAAATGTCCGTCTTTAGATGTTGGGTGGTAATAAAGCATTAACAGGAGTCCCCAGCTAGGTTGAAAGCCATACTTAAAAAATATTGCTGATTAGTCAGCTTGGAAATTTCTTCAATCCCAATATTTTGTTCATTCTTGTTCAGCATTTTCATCAGTGATTCAGATCTTGTCACTGTTAACATTTTGAGCCAGAGAATTCTTTGTTGTGAAAGGCTGTCTTGACACTACATTTTGGGATGTTTAGCAGTATCTCTGGCCTCTACCCTCTGTTGTGACAATAAAAAATATCTCCAGACATTGCCAGATGTCCCCTGAGGTGGGGGCAGAGGAGAGGGGCAAAATCACCCTTACTTAAGAAGCACTGATTTAGATGAATATAGAAGACATACTTGCTGAATTTAATGCATGGCAAAATCAGGATTACAGAAAAATTTGATTGCTAAAAGGTGGTTATTTCTTACAAGATAAATAACTAAGGCACCCTGTACTTTAGGGCTAGAATATGAAAAAAAAATAAGGTCTTGTACTTTAGGGGTAGGAAAAACCCCACTTAGAAGTACCTTCTTTGGGATACCTGTGTTTTCTGAGCCATTCATGTGCAAATGCCCAAGGTTATAGATGACAGTGTTATTTGTTAGGAAGAGTGAAGAAGCAAATACTAAATCTCTTAAAAGAATTGTTTTCAACTCTGTTCTCTTGTGTTTTTCAACTTTCAAAAGTGGCTAAGGCTTTGACTCAGGTAAACCTGTGTTTACATATTGCCTCTACCATTTGGTACACATTAGGTGACCTTGGGCAAAATCAAACTTACTGGGTTGTTGAGGTAACTGAATGAAATAATACCGTAGTACCTGGTACTTAGTAAATAATATACAGTGACAATTAAAGGTCTACATTTTCTTATCTGAAATCCTTGGGATATAGTGCATATACTGTATAATATTCACCCCTAAGGGATCTGTGACAGCATTGCATAATCAGGTGATACTATTTCTGTAGTGAAACCTATAACTGTTCACATTATAATGGGTAAATAATGACTGTAAATGGGCTCGGTCAGGTTTCGTTGCACAGGGAGTTATGAAAACACTTTTAGTTTCTGAGATTTGGAGATTTTGGAATTGTTGATATGAGATTTTGGTCCTACACTAAGATTATTTTTATTACTCCATAGGTAGTAAATTCACCCTTTGTTTCAGCAGCTTGAATTATATACTTATAATACAGTCAAAACTCAAATTGAAGTTATTTAAAATCAAATGTTAAAATGGTAACTTTTGAGCAATCAGAGTGAAGAATTCTTTGGGTATTTTTGTAGCTTTTCTATAAAGTCTGAAATTATTTCAAAATAAAAAGATTATTAAAAAATTTAAATACCTCCACATTAAACGTGACTCATGCATCATTGTGACTAATTACCTCTGTAGAACTGTCAGCATGTTATGTAGCAGCAGGCACAATAGGCATCTTAGAAGCAGGTTCATTCTAACCTGAGTATCCTTTATGGCAGGAGTTTTTGATCAGTATCACTCTGAATCTCCTGAAGTCACAAAAAATTATGTGATGTGTGAATTTTTTAAGAATAGGAACTGTCATTTTCATTTTATAGGCAAAATGGGATGTAATACTAACCAGTCTGTGAAGTCAAAAATATAGCACTTAATATCAATGAATTTTAGAAGACTGATGAATTTGCAGGAACATCATAATGGATAGCTTAATGAACAAAGAAAAATTAAGGGATGCTTATGTTAAGAATAATTGAGCCAAAGTAATACCAACTTTATCTATTAAAAAGAGGACCTTGATATGGAAATGTGTCCAATAGAAGGCCCTCCTACTTACTTTGGAGCAGATCCCAAACTGCTTCTATAAAATAATGACTCTTTCAGAGATAATTCCTTATGTTCACTTTTACCCAGTTCTAATCAAAACCCACTGAAAGAAAATTGAAGGATCTATATGAAGAAAAATGAAAGTCTACTGAGTGACCTAAAAGATTTGAACAAATGAAGAATACCTTGTTCTTGGGAGATTAAATATTTTAGAAATAACATTTATTTCTTAAATGAATGGTCTTTAAATATGGTGTGATCCTAATAAAAATACTAATGGAATTTTTGTTGTTATTGGTGTGGGATGATTATTATTATTTTGAGAAGAAGAAAAGGGTTCATGGTAAAATGACTGAAGTTCATTTTGAAGAATAAACATGAGAGAAGACCAGGAAAAACCTGAGAAAGAAGAGTAATGAGGCTAGACTCATTAAAATTTATGAAATTCTAATAAAGTTTTATGGTGTTGACATAGAAATCTACAGTTATCTTAGATTGTAGAAAATAAACACGGATATTTGGTACTCTATCACATGATTAAGATAGCATTTCAAATTAATATAGATAATTACTTATTCCATAAATGAGTTTGAGACAGTTGGCTTTCCATTTGGTGGGGAAAACCTGGATCTTTTACTAGAACTTCCAGGTGGATCAAAACTTAAAGTGAAATTTAAAAATAGTGGAATATTTTCATAATCTTGAAGAGATGAAACATCCCATTAAAGCCATAAAGGGGAAGAAAAACTAAATTTACATAAAATTTTTAAAAATTGTATGGCAAAAAAAGATTATAATAAAGTCAAAAGACTAACTGGACAAAAAAATCTTTATCATATAAAGGATACTAATGCATTAATAAGAAAAAAGACTAGCAATTTAATAAGGAAAAGGGCAAAGGATAAGAATATATGGTCATAGAAAGATGTATATGCTATAAGCATATATTAATAATGTCTAATATAATGAAGGTATGGGTTAGCCAGGGCAT